CGACCGTATGAACGCATTGGAGATAATCTCCTGTTAATCAGTGGGAGCAAGTGTTTAGTTTGGAAATAATCAGTGGAACATCTGACAGCAATTTGGCTAATTTAGGTAAAGTAGATATTTAATGTCATTAAAATAATCACATCTGTGGATTATCCCACAGCAAACATATACCAAGTTTTATTGAAATTTGATAAAAGGTTCTTGAGATATCAGTGGATTAGATGAATACCATATACATACATACACATGTGTAAGCACAGACAGGGTAATTACAAAGACTTTCATAGTGCCTGTACACAGAATTCAAAAATGGTCATATTAAATCATATCATTTATATATATTAATTATGAAAACCAATATATAGTCTCAGTGATGTATTTACCACAAAATCTTCTGATAAAGCTGCTTCCATTTGTTGATCAGTGATTTTTGGCATTTCACGGATATCATGAAAATACTTAACAAGTTCAGCTTTATAATCTTCTATTTCCTTGGCATACAACAACCTATTGGCAGGAGTTTTCTATAAAATAGAAAGTGAAACTAAAATTACTATCCACATACAAAAAAACAACAACACAACTGTATAAATTACCTTGTATTTGACTTAATACTATTACAGTCCAAACTTTCCTACACCTTCTTAAAACACTGCGACAATTAGAGTGACTCATGGTTCAGTGTTTTGTTTTAGAAAAAAAAATTGGTGATAAATGTCCTCATTTTTGACAATGATACAGTGACCATGAACAGTCAAGTAAACAATATATTCAATTAACCAATACTTAATTAATACTTGCTAAGTATTAGCTATTGTAATTTGATTAATTTTTATCTGTAATTTTCTTATGTAACCTTTAACCTTCTTCAGTAGGTTGTTATGAGTTAATAAATACTAATGAGCAATCAAGGCAAGCTGTGGGTATACTGTTATAAGCACTTTGGAATATCAACATGCCCAGACTTTAGTAGAGAAGTGTGAGCCAAAGGGCTAACATCATACCCTAAGTTATTATTTAGTATAATTTCATGATAAACCTTATAAACCTTGAACACAGTGCCATTAGGGGCTTAGATTTACCGGGGGGTAGGGAGAAATGATATTTGAATATGCTGTTAAAGCAATAAAAGTAAGGTAGTCCAGGGTTTGACCGAACTCCACTCCACTCAGAAGTTTGCTGATTCTGTTCAAAATTTTTTTTGAATTTTTGCTTTTCCATGATGTATCCTTGGAAGGAAAGATGTGCAATAATAAGGTTATTACGAGGATACCCCAAAGTATGCACTCAGACAGTACGCTGTTGCTTTAATCTCTACTGCTCGTCAGTCGATACATCCGTTGTATTGTCTTTGTGCATACTTTGAGGTATCCTCGTAATAACCTTATATTATACTGATTAGTCTTCACCTACCGTGCCAAGTTTTCTTTCCATTTTAGAGCAAGCATCAATAAATGTCTGTGAAATAATGTCAAGGCTTGGTGTAACAATCTCTGGTACCCACATATCAAAAATATTTTGTGGATACTTTAATATGTTGGGCCACAATTTCAATAAAAGACTGAAAATAATTGACATACATTTACATTAGGTTATGAAAGTGCACATATAATATAGATGAGGTGTACATTTGTATTTCCATGTAAAGGCTGTGTTACACAAGGCAATTCATGTAGCAACTCATTGAGCAACACACGAGGTATGCAGTTGCCCTACGAGTTTCCTCATGTGTATAATGATATTATTATGTTACCACCAGGTATCAGGGCCAGTACAATTTTGTTTAGACATATATTTATACGGGTAGTTCACTGTATTGTGAATCAATCAAGATTGGTGGATTAGTTTTAATTTTGACAATTGTAAATAATTAAAAATATGAAATAATGAAAGACTGATTAAACAGCTTTATTTTACTCATCTATTTTGGGGTAAATATTAAATTATTTTATTGTATGGTCATTTGCTGTTTTTAGTATACTATATGTATCTTCTAAAACCAAATCAAAAAATTGTTTCTTTTTTAAATATGTACTGGAAGTTTCAGAACAAGGTTATAAAGCCAATTATCGTCAATTAATTTATTTAATTATATGCTCATTTATTAATATTATGTGCACTATAAGTATTACAATTACAGTCCACATGTTGGGTAATATGAAGTTAAAGACTTAAATCAAATAGGTCATTTATAAGCATTTAAATGCATTTGTTGTGATTTGTAAGAAGCCATTGTAACTAGTTTATCACTATGAGTTGTCGCATACGTTGTACGGTGTGTTGCCTCATAAATTGCCTTGTAAAACACAGCCTTAAGAATTACAAATTAAAGTACTATTGTAGGAGAAATATTCACTTGGTTTTAAACTTACTGGCTTGTCAAGAAAAGAGTAAAGTCTATGATAATAGTAAATTTTGAATATTTTAATTTATAACATTTAAATGTTTTAATTTAGCATGTTTAACTATGGGCCAAATTAATAATAATAAAACCTAGTGAAATAGATTCCATGCAAAAATAAAATTCTAAAAACTATTGTTCAATTACTGTGACAGAATGTAGCAATACTGAGATGACAATGATGTATCTGATGAGTTCTTTGTTAGCAGAGCATCTGAAATATTGGAACTTGATTACCATATGAACTCTCAGATGCACATATACACTATAAATGATAGTCAGAATAATCTTTTAGGCATACATATGCCTTGAATATAAAAAAAAAGTTTTCATTTATCTTCAAGTTAAGTTAAGTTAATTAATAACATCAGTATTATGGGGCCACAGACTAGACTATTTTGTATGAACTAGTTCTGTGGTCCTCACTAGAATTACTATTACATGTATTATTATTATCATTGTGTATATTATTTATTATATATTTTCTGGTAAAATAAAAACAACAACAACGAATAACTGGAGACAGTTTTTATTCTGACTACTTTGACAATATAACACGTTGTCTTACCTATTACTTTTCCAGATATGAGCCACGTCAGGGTCATTTATACTGTGTCTATTACTTAATTCATCCAAATAATCAAACATGTATTTGATGGCAGAAGGAAATTGTTCAGATTGCTCACCAACTCTCAATAATTTATTGAAGGCATTCAGAAGAAATTGCTCAATAGTTCCCTGTACAAAAAATAATAAAGATAATTTATTGCATCCTTAGAAATACAGTGTTTCCATCAGTTTATAGCACAGACTAGACTATTTTGTAAAACAAATGAAAACAAAAAATGGTTAATGTGTTAGCTTGACACGCCAATAATGCATCCAAGTATTACACTGATATATTGGGCACTAGGAAATGTACATACACGTATGACTAATTTGTTGTCTGAAAGTAAAAATAGCGACATACTCAAATGATAATGTACAGACATGACCATAGCACATATACATGTAATGTATATATACAAGGCCTGTATTTTGTTATATTCCAAGTCTGAAATATTCTTCAGACATTGCATGCAAGATATACTACTTTTAATTATAAAAGCTTACCTTGGTGGAAACTAATTGAAGCAGAAACACTTCTGATATCACTCTTTGTCGATAGAAGGTTCTTGCTCTTGTCAGTGCTCGTTCACGGAAGTTTCCTTTCTGTATTTTGTTTTCATTTCCACTTGGGGTTTTACACTTAAGCTGAAGAGAATAAACAAAGCATGTCAACCAGTCACTGTTAGCATAGTGGTTCTAGCATCAGACCCGGTAGACCCAAGTTCAAATCCTACCTCAGGCTGAACATCAAAAGGGTCAACCCCTACCCTGGGTGAGTGTGCCACAGACTCAATGTGAAGGCCAATTCCACTGGCCGAGATTCATTCACTAACGAATGCGATTTTGGGGGAACCTTGGTTAAGGTCCACAGGTGCTTGTGTTCGACCGAGCCTGGTTGACGCCAGGATAGTGCATTAAATTGCCATTTGATAGATAGATGGCCGCACAGCTCTGTCATGTAGTCCCAAACATGAATATGACTTCTGTGGCAAAAATGTACTATGTGTCAGCACTAGCACTTGCAATTTGCACATACAAAAAAAAAGTCAATGTTCGAGACTGTCGCCTGGCACAAAAAATATTTAAAAAAAAAAAAAAGCATGTCAACTCAATTATTGAAGTGTAACACTTTCTCATTGTTTGTAATGATTTGTGAATTTAACATATTTATTTCTTAATTGAAATTTTCCCTTCACTATTTTTAATGCTATATAAATATTTACAAGCAAATACTATGTTAGTAGAATTTTGTTGCACTTTCCATGAAGATTTAATTGTAATTTAGTTTAGCTGATTTATACTCATATTTCTCTCATATATCAAAATATTTTCTATTTTGAAACCATTCAAATATAAAAACATATTAGATACATGTATGCATAATCTGCTGAAAATTAAATTGCCAAGTACATTCCAGAGATAATGCACAGTGGATGGATTACTGGAGTTTAATACATGACAGGTACAAATGTTTGTTGTTTGTTATCTTTATAACTTACCAAATGGTATGATCTGACTCCACCTTCAGCATCTTCATATCTTCTATTAGTTTTTACCCTATGTAACCTACTACTTGCCATATCAGATGCAGCCTCAGAATCTTGTAGCTCTTTCTCATCTACAAGAATAACAGTGTTAGGCAGAACATATAGCAATGTTAGGCAGAACATATAACAGTGTTAGGCAGAACATAGCAATGCTATACAGAACATATAGCAATGCTAGGCAGAACATATAGCAATGCTAGACAGAACATATAGCAATGTTAGGCAGAACATATAGCAATGTTAGGCAGAACATATAGCAATGTTAGGCAGAACATATAGCAATGTTAGGCAGAACATATAGCAATGTTAGGTAGAACATATAGCAATGTTAGGCAGAACATATAACAGTGTTAGGCAGAACATATAGCAGTGTTAGGCAGAACATATAGCAATGTTAGACAGAACATATAACAGTGTTAGGCAGAACATAGCAATGCTAGACAGACATATGACAGTGTTAGGCAGAACATATAACAGTGTTAGGCAGAACATATAACAGTGTTAGGCAGAACATATGACAGTGTTAGGCAGAACATATGACAGTGTTAGGCAGAACATATAACAGTGTTAGGCAGAACATATGACAGTGTTAGGCAGAACATATAGCAGTGTTAGGCAGAACATATAACAGTGTTAGGCAGAACATATAACAGTGTTAGGCGGAACATATGACAGTGTTAGGCAGAACATATGACAGTGTTAGGCAGAACATATAACAGTGTTAGGCAGAACATATAACAGTGTTAGGCAGAACATATGACAGTGTTAGGCAGAACATATAACAGTGTAAGGCAGAACATATAACAGTGTTTAGGCACAACATATAACAGTGTTAGGCACAACATATAACAGTGTTGGGCAGAGCATATAACAGTGTTAGGCAGAACATAGCAATGTTACGCAGAACATAAAACAAAGTTAGCCAGAACATATACTAAAAGCAATATACATACATACATTTAACAACACGTAAAAGTGTGTATGGTTATAATTGAGTTTATAGGTATATGAATTATTTTGGTATCCAAACACACATCCCCAGACACCTTTGAGACAAAACTTAAGCCATCACATAAATTGTGATGACATCAAGGAACTGACATATGCTTATAGTACCTGGTAATGTAATAATGCCATAATTTAAAACAAGTCATTGAAAATGACACAGTTCCCGTTAAATTTTTGAAAGTTCTCTTTGTGCTCGTCATATTAAAGCGGAGGGGTTGACGCGAACGTGTCCTTGAAACTTGAGTTCCAAGTGGCGTATACAACAGATTGTTTATTTATATCAAAACATGTGTTCTGTGTAGTAGTAATATGGCCAAAAATAAAAACAGCCGTTATTCGGCCATCTTTGATCTGATTATGAAACACACTGATATGTATGATGTATGTGCCAAATACGAATGAAAATAATACATAAATTGTGGAAATATAGTAGTAAGGCCAAAAAGTCAGATGGCTGTCAATTGGCCATCCTTGACCAGATTTTGAAACAAATTGTCATGGACATGCATCCTAACATGTATAAAGTACATGTATGTGCCAAATTTGAATGAAAACTGACAGAGCACATCCAAAATACCGCATAAAAAAAAACAAGATGCCTGCCAGTCTACCATCTTTGATCCAATTGCAAAATAAATCATCATGGACATGTATTCTAACATGTAATATTCTATCTACAAAGTTTGAATGACAACTGGCAAAGCATGTCCAAAATACAACATTTTCAAAAAACAAGATGGCTGCCAGTCAGCCATTTTGAATCGAATCGCTAAGCCACTGCATGTGCATATGTCCCACATAAGGTACTAGGCACATGCAAAGAATGAACGGAATCGGTCCAAGGAATACTGAGATATGACTCCGGACGGACGCACCAATGCACAGACGCACGGAGACCGAAATATAAGTCCCCGTTTTCAGACTTCGTCCGAACGGGAACTGGTAAAAGTAATATATCTCTTACTATGTATATTCATAGCTGAAATTGGACTTCTTAGTTGTTTATTCCCATTAGCTGTTTCTGATTTCTTAACCAATGTCATAGTTGCATCTGTGGGAATCTAAGACCAAAACAACACAGTACAATACAGTACAGTATAAAGCTACAATGTGATGGAATGAGTAGAATATGGTTAAGTCATGTACAAAGCATTTAAATGTTTATAATAATAATTTATTGCTTCCTTAGAAATTGATTTTCTTTCAGTTAACAGTTATAAGATTGTAGCAAAACAACATGATTTTATGAAATAAAGAATTATCAACATTAAGCAGTCAGTTCTGTTAAACTTCAATTCTGTTGGTAATTAGTAAATATGATCTAATATATCTATTAAATTGTTCAATATCATAAAATAGTGAAGTGTTCCTACAATATGTAAACCAATAAAGGTACTGAGAAAATTATTTAAATTTACAGAACCAGATGTTTTCATTTATTTTATAATATCATTTAATTTTGGTTATTATTATATATCGTAGAAATACATAGTGTCAAGTAATTCCATAATTAAAACCTACCAAAACTTACGTTCATCTTCTTGTGATTCGTAATATACAATGAGTGTTGCAATATATAGTTCATATACAAATGCAAGGGACATGTTCATTTAAAATGACAATAGCTCTGATTTGAAGCATTTTTTTTGTTTAAATATAAACACATAGAAATGACCAAAACAAATATTGTTTTAAACACAATTGCATAAGCAAAATGACTCTATACAGTTTCAAGGTATCGTTTTATTTAATATAACTCCCAGAGCATAGCGCTAGAAGACTGCAAGTCTAATGTGCATGTTTTATCAGTTAGACCAGAATAAAAATTTTACTCTTTGAATTGTTCTTGTAAGTAAAATCATTTTTTTTTTGCCTAAAAATTGAAAACATGGTCAGTGATCACTCGCTACTAATCTGTTTGGTCTTGAAGTTTGTGAAAATCTCACAGTGACCCTAATAATCAAGATATTTTTTGACACAAATCAAAAAAAAAAATGAAAAAAGCAATATGGGAGGTCTGAGGGAGTTCGGTGAACAAAGAATTTGACAGTTGTGTCTTACTTTGTAATTTCTCATTGTATTTATTTTCTTCCAGCGACCTTCAATTATAGTGGTCACATCTTCATCCTGAAGAACCAAACGACCTTCCAACTTACGACCATGTCTCCACTCTGAATTGAAGATTTAATAAGAACACAAGTCATGACATGGTAAAGTCTAGTATACAACTTGTTATATAGCAAGGAATATGGCACATGTCATGACATGTTTAAGTCCAGTATACGTCTTGTTATATAGCAAGAAATTTGACAAATGTCATGAGAGGGTAAAGTCCAGTATATGTCTTGTTATATAGCAAGGAATGTGACAAATGTCATACAATGTCAACAAGATGAAATGTAATAAATCAAGACATATGTAGCAGTGAAGACAAGTCAAATATAAACAAAACTATTCCTTCTTCACAAGAAAAAAAAGGTTGACATTACCCAGATCCACTTCATCCACAGAAGGCCTCTTACTGAAGGGTATACCAGTACTTTTATAGATCACATCCAGTAATTTTTCCTTAACTTGTGTTACTGTATCAATATCTAAAACTTTAGCTTTCAATTCAGATGATGAATCGTCAGTGAGAACAGTAATTGTCTAGAAAGTAATAAACAAAATATACATTTAATCAGTGGAAGATTTAATTCAATGTTCTGAATTTATGTTAAAAAGGAAAGTAATAAATAAATGCAAATACTTGCAATAAATTGTTTTCCTGGGCATTGGACATTGACAAAATTTGGAAGTCACAAGCCTAAATTTCAGAAAATGATGGATGCATTTAGTGGATAGTGACCATTTTGCAACATTGCTAAAAATAACAAGATTGTTAATTTCATTTTTCCTTGGAACAACAGTATGCTGAATGAATTCAAATTTCAACAATTACACATAATCTAATAAGACTACACTACAGAACTCATTTTAATTTTAATAATTGTAGATTACCAGAACATTGTGGGTGATATCTTCTCTCATTAAATATTCATCATTTAGTGAGTACTTAGCACGGTATTCTATTGCATCAACAGGTCCAATCTGTATCTGTTGTTTTAAGGCTTCACATAACCAGTAGATAGATGCACCACAACAGTTCTGAAAAAGAATATATTCAGCAGGTCTAAAACATCAGTAACATTTTTAGGAACCCAATTGTAAGACCAACATTTTTGAAAATTACATGCAATACAACAAAAATATTGATGACATAAAAGATATCCAAATATAATATCCTTAATATGGCATCTAAATTTTAGGCTCTAAGTCAGCATTAGAAAAATCATTAAAATATTCAAAAAAAAAAACAATGCTTATTCAATATGTAGGTTTAAAACAGATGTGAACACATTATACCAAGGTTTAACAGCATGAGCATAACTAGTACTTAATACCAGAGGTACATTACTTGGGGTTTGCAACGCGCATAGTTCTGTATGGTGACATCATGTCAAGATCCAATTCAAGTCCCATCTCGTAGATAGCGAGACTGATGCTACAACCTTCCGACATGACATATATCAATGTTCAAGGTTTGTAACAAAACAATAAAACATGCCTTACCACTATCATAGTGAATAAATGTAATACATCGAAAATGTACAGAAAATATAGTTCTTGTAATCCGTCATATCATGAGCAGCTATTTTGATCCACCTGGACCTCCCAGTATCCTAGTTACCTTGGGCATGTACATTCGCATTGTTCTGAGTTGGGAACGCTTATTGCAAGAACGAGATTGAAACAGGATCTTGGTATCATGTCACGCTACTTGCAAACCCCAAGTAATGTACCTCTGGTAAGACTTACATCAGCATAAAAGAGCTCACAATAAATATGACAGAGTTTAATCCCTAATGAAATGGGTCATTACTGACAACCATTTACAATGAATGTGGTAAGTACATTGACATTATGAACTGAATTTGTTTTAAGATTATCAAAGTAGGTAATCAATGTGTGTCAAATGCTTATGCCAGCATAAATTTTTCTAGTAAGAACACTGAGCATCTGATTAAAAAATAAATTAAAACTTGATGTCAAAATGATTCATAACATCAGTGATTGTATTGACCGATGTGTCTCGGATGTTGACACATTTCCATACTGCCTGTTTGCATACTTTGCTTGTAGTAATAATTTAATGAGGGATGACAACAAAAATTGTTTTGTTCTGTGACTGGATGTAAATCTAAGACACAATTTCTAAATTCACACACTTCTGTAACACCTTGGAATATATCCATACAGCATTTTACTGATGGGTAAATTCTATTGTTTTCAGTGTCAGATATGTATTATTATAATGTATCATATCAGGGTATAATTCTGTAGTTACACTATTCTCTACAACAAGAATATTTACCTTTAAAAACGGGTACAGGTTCAGCACATACCAGTTGGTCAGCATTTTCTCCATAACTGACTCAGTTCTATAAAAAAGCAAAAAAAAAGTCAATTTTATTTTATTTGTTTGTTAGCTTTAATAAAATGTCATTTAAATCAATAAATGTCATCAAAGGCCGATAAGGTAGATAAAGGTAGATATTGCTGTACCTCCTCAACATTCCTTTTACACTTTCATCTTCCACTGCAAACTCTGCAGCATCAGCCAATAATGTCTTCAACACACTGTAAATGCAAATTATCATAAAACAAAGTTATTCATGATGAGGCTCCATTTTACATGAACTTTCACTGAATCTCTTTTTTAAGTTTGGCACCAGTATCAATATTTGAGAAAAAAAAGCAAAAAATACTTTCGGGTGAAGAGGTGATGAAAGATTAATTGTGAAGATAGCACCATGAGTGAAACTAAACACTCAGTAGCCTTACACACCATAGCTACAGAATGTCCACAAGTACCCTGTACATAATGAAGTGTATTCTCTGTGTATTTAATATGGGCAAACTCATATTCAAGCAGTGCTAGGAGTATGTAATGATAATGTCAATTTTGCTATTGTTGTATATTTGGAATGAAATGTTAAATGATATTATAGGTTTCACACCACAATTATAATTTGTAGGTCTTAATTGTAGGCACCCATGAATGTAATCCTTTCTATTTTGAAAACAATTTTTTTTTGAATAAGAATGGTATGTATATTTTATTTTATTGGGTTTGTGAATAGAATCTTAGTGGAATGGCAAACTGATACAATAGAAGTCACCAGGTTTTACTTTTTAAATGAGACTATGGTAATACCAGTGTATTAAAATCGGGTTCATTGTTTGGACTTTCAATACTGTGTCCTATTTAATTTTAAAAAACTAGTCAAATCACTCTTTTTGATTTTGTATAATTTGGGGTATAACTTAACTCAATTCTGCTACATGTATGTGTTACATAGCCTTTTGTTTCAACAAGACTTAAACATCATACAGTTAAACCTGTGTTAGTAACTACTATTGTAACTATATTGTGCCGTCCAAATGCAAACCACATGTCATTGAATATGTAAAGTGAACTGTCTATTCAGACCACCTGTCTAATATGACTGTCATTGTGGAATCACTTTGGTCAAATAAACCTGTGTATAAAGACCAAATTGCTGTGCGCTATTTTTATCTTTAGTGTTTTATACACGTCTGCTCAACCAGGATAATTATTTATCCCCCACCTTCAAATACATGTTGACAAATTGCTTTTAAACTTATAAATTATTTGCTATACAAAAACCACCTGTCAATAATGAATAATTTCTTTCAGCACCTTGAGTGGTCCCCTTACACAGGTTTAACTGTATAACGTATATTAGGATTATGTGTATATGTTTTTACAGAAATCATGCATTCAGTGCCTGGCACTCACAGATATGTTAACTCACCCTTAAACAAATCTTCAGAAGAAAATCGTTAAGAGGAAGAGAAAATAAGTTAATTAATAGGAAAATTGTGGGAAGATTTTGATGACAATATTAATGAGTTAGTATCACAAAGAAATGTATTAGCGAGAAGTTTTGAACAAGAAAAAAAACATAAAGTTGTTAAATATATCAAAGCAATATCAAAGCAAGAGTATAATAACAATATATAGCATTAAAAAATAACTTGCACAAACCATTAAGCATGTACATTGAAATACTACCAAGTAATTCCCACTTACTCAGTCAGGTAGGCCATGTGCCTCTCTTTATGCAATGCTAAAGTCAGCAAGGATCCAATGTTAACCCTGCATAAAAAAGTTATATAAACCTGTTATGAAAGCAGTTACCAAGAATGATAACCTGAGTATATATTATATAATACTGTAAAGTACCACCAGTGTTTACGTTTGATCCTTATTTATTTACTCCAGGGTTTGAATTGGTGAATTATCTACAAGTAAGTGCACAAACTGTGTTAACCTTCAGATTTAGAAGTGCCACTTCTTGTAAGATTGATATTTGCCTTTTTGGCACTCAATCACAGATAGTTTTTGTTGCACTTACCTATCTCTTACAGAAATGTTACGTTCCTCTTCTAGTGTATGTATAAAGACAACCAGAAATTTCTTTTCTTTCAATAAGTTGTGGAATCTTCTTAATCCTTTGGCTAAATTACTACTGGCATCCTGAAAATATAAAAAAACAAGCCATGCATGGCACAGTCCCAGTTAGTTATCAAATTTAAGATATATAGTTTTGTTTATAGTAATATAGCTGGAATATAACCATGTCAGGAATATGATTTTTTAACATTAAAATGATTGACATTTGTATCTGATCGTCAAACAAGTACTTGTCCATATTGAAAGATTTTGCTCTGGAACAGCATTAATTAAAACAAAATTTTGAATACATGTATATATATATAACATGATGTATAACGAATATATAAAATTTAAATATAATAAGTCAAAGCATTTAAGAGATACATGTATGGCTCTAGAAGCCCAATCATTAAAACAAAATGGCCGCCAGTCAGCCATTTTGAATCCAATCTGAAAAATAAAATGAAGAGCATCAGGAACCCATAATGTCTAATGTATGTACTAAGTTTGAACAAAATCCACCCATAAATGCCCATAAATGCTTGATATTTGATAATTTTCTAGCACAAAAATTACCACCATTCGACCATTTTGAATAGGATAGTCAAACCAATATATATGTATATCTATGACATGATGTATAATGAATATTTAAAATTTAGTCGGAGATATGGGTCTAGAAGCCCATTTATTAAAACAAATTGGCCGTCAGACAGCCATTTTGAATCAGATCTGAAAAATAAATGATGTGCATCAGGAACCTGTAATGTCTAATATATGTACCAAGTTTGAACGAAATCCATCCATAAATGCCAGAAATGCTTGATATTTGATGATTTTTTAGCACAAAAAGGGCCACCATTTGGCCATTTTGAATAGGATCGTCAAACCCACATATCTGTCTATCTATGACATGATGTATAATGAATATTTAAAATTTGAACATAATCAGTGAAAGCAAGTCAGAGATATGGCACGAGAACCACATACATTAATCCAAAATGGACGCCAGTCGGCCATTTTGAATCTTATCTAAAAAACAAAATTATTTGCAGCAAGGTCCTATAATGTCTAATGTATATACCAAGTTTGAACAAAATCCATCTGTAAACAAGCTGAGAAATGCTTGATTTTGATGATTTTTAGCACAAAAATGGCCGCCATTCGGCCATCTTGAATCAGATCGTGAAACAAATTGACGTGCATATGTATAATATCATGTATGATGTATGTGTGAAGTTTGATTGTGATTGGTCCAGGCATTTCTAAGATACAGGCTCGGACGCACGCACAGACGCACAGGCACAGACACACGGAGGTCAAAAAATAAGTCCTCGTTTTCGGACTGCGTCCGAATGGGGACTAATAAGCTCAGATGTATGTGTCAGAAAATTAATTCTATTTTACTTACAACTGTTCCCTTCAGAAAGACAGGATGGTCAGTTTGTCCAGCAAAAATCATATTAACAACATAGTCATTAAAGCTCAAGAATGGAATAGATGCAGAGGCACCTATATCACTCATCTCAGGCATCATAGTCTGTAACTCAGTAAAAGCTGCAAGTAAAACAAAAGTACAGTTACTATGAATACATTGAGTATTTGTTGGGTTTTAATTTCAATATAATTGTAAATGAGTAAAATGTGAATAAAATCTGCAAAACTAAAACAACGAAAATGACAACAGAACTTGATTGAACTTGATTCAATGGAATGACCCAATGAATTTGCCATAAAAATATTTCAATATATACATGTGTACCGTAAAAATTCCAAAATTTCGGCCACTTTTGAATAATTGGTTTTGAAAAACGGTTGGGTTTTTAGAATACAAAATAATGATAAATTTTTGGCCAGTCGAATGTTTTAGTGAAAAATCAACAAATACAAAAGTTGGGTTATATACAGTTTCAGAAATAGAATAGTTATAGAAAGTCATGTCTCTAAACAAATATTTTGAGTAAAAATAAGTGAGTGATTTCTGGTGAGGTCAAATTACAGTAAATTACAAAAATCCGCCAAAGAATTTTTACGGGTAATACATTGTACAAAAGGTCATATTGGGTTTGGTAGCCCCATAGCTGCATGGCAGAACTGAACAACCTTATTTCATGTATGTAAAACATTACATAGATATATAGATATACAAAACATATTTCAATAAAATGTTATTCTTACCAACTTTCAGTTTATCCCTTATGGCCAACTCAACAGATTCCATTTTTTGCTTTGTTTTCTCCACTGTTAAGCGTTCATTGGTATGTCTACGTTGACATACTATACATACTACAATCAGGATAATAAGAAGTAATAGAGCAGCAGCAGCTACTGCAGCTATGACTTCTATAGGTAAATCATCTTCTGGATATTCCACATAACCAATAAAAAATTCCAATACACCAACTCGGACCTTATTTATGAATAAATTCATGTGAGATTTTTATAGTTACCTACACGGTTTTGTTATTTACACATTACCGGTACAATCAGTTAGTACATGGTATCTGCTTCATACTTAATTTGTCATAGTCAGCATAGTTCAAATAAATCATATCTATTTTGCATGGTTTACTATTAGCTTCACCGGTGAAAAACAATTCCCTTTGCCACTTGTCTCGATACTAAAACGAAACAAAGAAATATTGATTTATATGCCATTACTCACCCTAACTTCTGGTAATTTGTTTTTGGTTGCTGTACCATTAATATCCACACCTTTTGGTTGAGAATTTGGGGGGTTACAATTAAGTTGATTGACAGCAAGGCTGGTCACATTACATCGCTCAGTACCAATGTATACAAACACTTCTTGTGCTGTACTTGCAAGGTTAAGATTCTTTCCCTACAAACAACATATACAGTAATCATAGATGTTGTTAGTGTACATGTAAAACTTGCATTATATCTAACCCACATGTAAACTAAGGAGTATTTCCCCTGCCAAGCATATATTTATGTTCGGTTATGGGCTTTCGGGTATATACTGTAAAATATTTTATTTTCTCTTGGAATAAATTTTCGCTATTTTCGCTGAAGGATGATTCAGTGAAAGTAAAATCCAGCGAATATAATTTTTTTTCCTATATTTTACATTAAACTCGTCAAAAATAAGTGAAAATAAATTCCATACAAAACACCCAAAAAGTCTTTTCAGCAAAATTAAGTCTTTTCAGCAAAAATTCCAGCGAAAATAAAGTATTTCACAGTAATTCAGTAGAAATACATGCAATACTGTAAGCAGTTTAATTTTTACTGAAATATACTGTTATGTGTATATAAAGTGATACGATGAATCTTAGGCATAAATTGATAAATCTTTAAATTTAATACATCACAGACTAGATATAAGTTATGCTTATATGTAACAATTAAAGAACTTAAAAGAAAACAAGAACAAAGAAAAGCTTTTAATTAATTACAGATTAAACTAATTATAAATGCACTTACATCAATTGCCAATTGTTCTCCTTCAAACACTTTAATATTGTCTTTTTCTTGAAACATAAAATATTCTGGATCATCAAAGATTTTGAAACTAAAGTCTGGTAGACTGAGGAGATCCTCTACACCATCCATTTTGAATCCAATTGTAACATCTGTGCAGTTATCAACACAAGTTGATGCTCGTCTTGAACGAGATAATAAGTAATTTATTTCTGGTGTAATGCATACCATATGGTCGTTGGACAATACATCACATGGTTCCTGTATTGAAAGAATTAACTATTACATGAATAATATATGCACATTGTATATAGTACTCAACCACGTTAG